AGGTAAAGCATATTGTTGCAACATTTAGAGGTACCACAGGGCGAAAATTCAAATTTAAGTTGCTTTAAGGACAACTGAAAGTTCCTTAAAGTTTGACGATAAGCTTTAAGTAAAATTAAGGTGTTTTTAAGTATGCCTTAAATGTAGCTGACCTTAAAATATCATTTAAGCAAGCTTTAAGGCCCTTTAATTTTCAATTTCTAGCACATGGTTGGGCTATGATTTTACGGTGCTTTAATTTTGCATGAAAGTCTCACTAAATATAAATGTTTACCTTTCATGAATTAAGGTGAACCTTAATCCATAACAAAAGCAATTGTGAGATTTAATGTTAGTTTCGGGACAACAGGAAAGCTCCCTAATGGCCTAAAACAGCTCACATCTCAGCTGTTTCGGTTTGTGGATTGTCGGAAAACTCCAATATATGCCGACGAATGTTTACAAGACACATAAAAACAAAGAGTGACCGAGTGTGAGCAGTTCTGGCACGATTCATCGCCGCAGATTATAAACTCTATCATCTCTATATAAAACGATATCATACACTAGGGGATTTTTATTTTTGAGATGAGGTTCTTTTTAATATTTATATTACGGGTTTGTTTAATATTCGGATCGAGGTTTGTAAGTTTGTTAATAGATTTGCAATCGGTTCATATTTAAATATTGATTATTGACAATGGATGAGTCAAGGAATCTGGTTTTTTGTCATCATTGTGATCAACTGGTGTCCAGGTTTACAAGAAACAGGCATGAAAATAAGCGAAACCGCGAAGACATCCTTCGAAATTCATGCCAGAAGTCAGAATCGAGTGATACGACAGACAGTGAGTCAGAGACACGTCAGCATGTAGACACAACCACAAGCAAAGCTGAGACTTGTTATATCAATTAATAATATAAATTTTATTCACGGTCATTTCATGCGATAATATTATCTGATGATCTGTATAACATGTATGTAAATCTACATGGATAGGACATTTGCATATATTATGCACCTATCAATGTTTTCCCCCTTACAGGGGGGGGGGGGGGGAATTTTGACATTTTTAAAATTTTGTCGTCAAAATCCCCACTGTTGGGCAAGGAACGGCTGTCAAAATTCGGCAGGTATTTTCCGCGGGTGACGGGTAGCGGGTGAGAGGTAGCGGGTGACAGGTAGTGTGTGCGTAGCGGGTGGCGGTAGTTCTCGTAATTCACATGTTGAACACATAGAATAATTTACGCAACCTCGTTCCCAGGGCTTTCGTATGAGGGCGAGGTAGAGAGACGAGAAAGCCCTGATCTGGGCCTGTCAATTTTGCATTCTGATTGGCTAACACCATATTGTCTAAAAATAGCTGAACTTTCCAGAGCCTTCAATGCAATGCACAAATTTCACCCAGGGAAACTGAAAAACCTCTGGTTAAACAAGTCAGTTCCAAACACAGGCTGACTTTTATTGTTTCAGGGCCATGCAAAATTTTTGTACCCCCAGACCAGAGCAAATCAATTTTGAATGTTAAAAAAGCAGGCCCCACTTAGGAATAAAAATCTCTAGCCCCTTTGCTAACAGCAGTAAAAAACAACAGGTGGACCAGAATCATAATAGCAATAGGCCTTGACTTATTTCAAAATGGTTTCTGATACTCAGGCTAAATGGTTGTGAAATAAAATATCTTTTTATTTAATATGTGCATATAGATTAGCCACAAGCCCACATGACAAGATTCTCGCTTTGGTTAAATTAAATTAAATTTTCTGGTATTAGGGTAAAATACCAAAGAGGGTCTGGCCACATTGCTGCTTAACCAGATATTTTCTGAGATTGATTTGTAAACACAGTACAGCAGAAGACTATCCCCTTGATGAGTAAAACAGTCTGGTATTAGACAGAGTAAAATACAATAAGGGTGCATTGCTGCTTAATACAACTAAGTTAATTTGGAGGAAAATGGTAAACTCGACAAAAAAGTGTGTGACCACCTGAAAAGCAAAATAACTTCTGCCCTGCTTCTATGCAGCTCCAAAAAAGTATGTGCCCCATCATCCATATATAAAGAAATTTTACATCGTCCCCCTTAGTACAGGTTTCTGTACTGAAAGGCTGAATTAACTATTAAATGTCAGGTGTGATTGGCCCGGTTCCATCAAAGAATGGCCTCGTTGAATCAGAGGCTTCTTAATTTCCCTGTGTAAAATTTATGAAGGGCATTGAAGCTTCTGGCACACAGAGTAAGATCACCCATTTGCCTACAACTATTATACACATGTTGGATAAATGAAAATTTGTAAATAAATTTGTCATGTACTAAATAAAATATCAATATTTATTCACTTTAAGATGACCCTCAAAACTGTAATCCCAATCAGAACGAAGATACAGATGAAGACTTAATGGTAAGATATATACATGTATATGTATATATGTGTATATGTATATAACTGGAGAATACAACTGTACTACGTACACTACCTCCTCCTCAGGCGCTTAGGGAGCATTTCGGGCAGGTTCGGAAAATGCGGGTTGCAGGCGAGAGCGCCTGCTGAGTAATGTTTTCAAGATGGCATATGCTATAAATCGAAATTTTCATTTTGACTTTACTATTATGACTTAATATACAATATACATACCAGCACTGATCTAATAGATCTAAATAATATTTAGAAATAGCATCCAGTGGTCTTATAACTAGCCGCTGCTTTTCTATAACGATGGAGACTGTCTTATAAAGTGTTTATACAAATTATGCTAATGCAAATACAACATCAACGATATTATATCCGCTTTCTACATATTTTGCGACTAAGCCTATGATAAGCCATTCCAAATACTTTAGATAAGATTCAAATATCAGTCTGCATGAAACATTAAAAGCACAATTTGAAAGATAAATATGGTGAAATTATATTTGCATATTAAAAATATACATTTACAATGTAAATAGAAGTAATATAGCGTCTCATTGTTCGCTTGTTCTTTGTCTTTTGAGTATAATAACACAATGTCTGCATATAGAATCTCCATTACCACAAAAATCTGCATACCAAGTCCATTTCAGAAAACGATATAGTGAGAGTATCCACATCGCTGCCGTCGAACGATGAGCACAACATATTAATTGTCAACATATGGCGTTATTCAAGCGTGTCCTGTTCATAGAGATCAATATCATTGCGTTACGACTGCTTGTTATGAGTTGCATTATAAAACACGTCAATTATCTACATGATATTTAATCAGGTAAAATACATACCTATTTCCATTTCACTGAATGACATATTAACAACGTCAACATCGTCGAAATCCTCGATTTTTTCCCTCTGTTCGTCGCTGCTTTCGGCCATGACTGCTCTGAAGTATCACAAATACTCTACCATACACGGGACAATAGTTTTGGGATAGGATGGTTCATATTTCACAAAGATTTTTAAGGATTGAAAACCGATACCCGGAAAATGTCACTTCTGCCCAGAAACCGACTATTATTCAGCAGGCCTTTCGTCGCCTTCCGTTCTTCCCTGATCTCAAATTTCACGCCCGCAAATTATTCCCGCCCGCATCGAAAGGCCTGCGGAGGAGGTAGCTACGTACATATGCCAGGAGAATTGCCAACAGGAAAGCGGCTGTCTTCCGAAAAATTGGAAAGTCAAGAAGTTGGGAAAATTTTAAAATTAAACCAAAGTCAAGCATAAAATACGGGGGAGGCAGGTTAATTGAATTAAACAAAACAAACCTATATGTAGCAATAGTATAGGTGTAATTATTAAGAAACAAGTACAGTGGAGAAAACTCTGAAAATGCCATTCCCAACAATCTAAGACAATAAACCGATTCAAATTTTAAACAACAAAATAATCACAATTCATTCTTTAGACAATACAAGTAAAAAGTTAATAGAAGTAAAAAATAATTCTCTTCCCCTGCTCCTCCATTGGTACATTGGGAGCACATATTTAATCTTTCTAGATAGGGCCCCATTTCAAACATCACATTTTGCATGTGTTGAACACATTAAAAATTTAATAAGAATGGATAATCAGCTAAAATGTCTCTTAAAGGGTTATGGCAATATATTTTTTGTTTTCGCATTTGAAAGAACTTTTGAAACTATTTAATAACTTCTTTTACCGATTCTTCATATCTTGCTTAGTTCTTGGAATATTTTCACTTGAAGTAATGATATATCAGCCATCTTGGATAAATTTTTTGTCTCATTAACGGCAGTTTTGGTGACGTCACAACAGGGATTAACCATATAAAAGTATTCGTTGTTGACCAAATATTGGTTGTTAGATGTTTTAAAGGTTTCAAGTGATCTTGATATTTCCAAGGGCATACGGAGTATAATTTTGAATGCAAAATGATTAGTGGTTGTCTAGATAAAAATATTGCATGACCCCTGTTGTGACGTAACATGCATATCTACAAAAATCCAAGATGGCGGACATTTCATTTCTTTCTATTAAAATATTTGTAGAAGTAAGCAAGATATGAAAAAACAGTAAAAGAGTTTTACATATGGTTTTAAATTAACCTGCGATCAGGCTGTATTTTACAAATAATAGCCTGACACAATCCTTAATCTGATCGCTTTCCACCCACAGCAAAGTTTATATTTAGTATCCAATCAAAATGTCGCAGGAGAAATTTAAATTTCACACAACGACAACAACAATCTAATTATAGTTCTGATCACTATAAATATATCAACGACAATATATAATGTAATTAGCACCAACCAATCAAATGACAGATTAAAAATCTTTTGTCTCATAAGCCAATCAGATTTACAACCGAAATACGGTTGTAAAAACATGGACTTTTGTTAAAATTTGTATCAGGCCTATTTATTTATTTATAGGCCTGATCACAGGTTAGTTTTAAATTTTCTTTCAAACGAGAAAATAAAAAAATATATTGCCATTTCCCTTTAACGTTTTAATGTGTTTCGTATATGAAATACATGGATTCAAACTTTATATTACTTACATGTAACCTACCTTCACCTTTTCAGGAATCTGATGGGGGTTCTGTTGACGATAATCCTTTGAACGATTCAAATGAATGTGGTATGAACCCAAGCTCTTCAGAGGATCATATGGACGACGATCCAGCAATGGACGAGGATAGTGGCGAAGAAGTTTGGAATGATCTTGTTCTCAAAGATTTATTAAAAGATATAGAAATCCCAACACCTCTGCCTGCCAAAGTAGACAATAAACACATAGTACACTCGATTCTATTTTGGCTGTTATACTTTCTCCTGATATTGGCAAACATCCTGTCACATTAGTGATAATGGAATGGCATGGCTTCTCAAATTCTTGTCGAGTTGGTTTAAATTGCTAGGTGTGATAGTTCCATCCGATACATTAGCGCAGATTGTGACAGCATTTCCTGGAACATTATATATGCTTAGGCAATTTTTCCAGTTTGACCGAGATAACTTTGACAAGTTTGTGGTCTGCTCGAAATGCCGCAGCCTTTATGAATATAACAAATGCCTAAAAAATGTGAATAACCAACAAGTAGGGAGAAAATGTTCCAGCGTACGGTACTCCAAAGGAAAAAAAGGTTGAATGCGGTGCAGAGCTTGTTTACAAAGTTCAGCTTGCGAATGGTGAAAGTTGTTTTTACCCAATCCATTACTATTGTTTCAATAGCATTATAAACTCATTGGAGAAATTGCTGGGGAAAAAAGGCTTTGCTGAGAAATGCGAGGAATGGAGAAGCAGATGTTCCGGAGGACAAAATGGTTGATGTTTATGATGGCAAGATCTGGAAGGAGTTTTTGACATTTAATGGAAAGGATTTTCTTAATTCATTCAGAAACTATGGATTTATGCTGAATTTTGATTTCTTCCAACCAATGAAAAGGAGGAAGGATTATTCTGTTGGAGTGTTCTATCTTGTTCTTCTGAACTTACCAAGGGCAGAAAGATTCAAATGGGAGAATGTCATCATTATTGGCATAGTACCCTCGCTTAGCAAGGAACCTAAAGACTTGAATCCATTTTTGAAACCAGCGGTAAAGGAATTACAGTGTTTGTGGAAAGGGATTCGATTAAATTCTGCCCTCAGTCGTTTTCCATTGACATTCAAGGCAGCTGTGTTAGCCGTTTCGTGCGATATCCCTGCTGCTAGGAAGTTAGGTGGTTGTAAAAGTCACTTGGCTCAAAGAGCCTGTTCTCGATGTCTGAAGTTTTTTTCCTGGTGGCTTTGGTGTAAAGAGGGATTATTCTGAATTTGATCGAGATAAATGGGAACCTAGAAGAAATGTTAATCACAGATGGTTAGCAAAAAAGTTTGCAAACATCAGAACACAATCAAAACGAGATCAATTTTGCCGAGATCATGGTATAACACATTACAGCATTCTTCTTGATTTAGAGTATTTTGATGCTATTAGATTTTTCACTATTGATCCTATGCACAATTTATTTCTTGGAACTGCCAAGGCAATGTTTAAGATCTGGGTTAATAACGGATTGCCTAGCAAGGATCTACAAAAGATAGAGGATCGGATAAAGACAATAGAGATCCCAAGCGACTTGGGTCGTCTACCTGCAAATATTTCTGCCAATCATGGGTCGTACACTGCAGAACAGTGGAAAAATTGGACTCTCCTATATTCTTTATTTTGTTTAAAGGATATTCTATCCGACGAAGAATTTAAATGTTGGCAGTCTTTTGTACTTGCATGCAAGTACGTTTGCCAAGGAGTTATTTCTGAAGCTGATTTACAGATTGCTGATGGACTGTTTGTGAAATTTTGCAAGGAAGTCGAGACTCTATGGAAAAGAAGCTATCAAACCAAATATGCACCTTCACTGTCATCTAAAAGATATTTTAATCGACCATGGCTCAGTTTTTGGTGTTTTTCATTCCAAAGATATAATGGTATTCTTGGAAGCATTCCCACAAACAAGAGATCAGTCGAATTGCAACTGATGAGAAGATTTCAACTCTCTCGATTCTTTGATGAAAAAACACTTCCAACCTTGTTTAAGGATGAACTTTTCCCTCTGTGCACTCTGAAAAACAATGACAAAAGTTATGAATGGCTGGAGAATTCCACATGGACTGAAAGATACGCATTGCACAACCTGGCTGTAACATCACCCAGTTCCAAGTGGAAACGTTTGGGAAAATGAATGTGGTATTTTCCGTCCCTCAAACTATAAACTTTCTTGCCTTGACTCAGATGATGCAACTCTGCTGTTAACAGTATATAACCTGATGTATCGCGATATTACCTACACCTTAAAAGACTTAAGAGAGGATGTCCACAAAAATCAAACATAAGGCGGCCACGATGGAAAAATCGATTTTGCTCAAATTTTGCCCAGATATACCTTATTATATCGGAAAATGCACCATATATTTTTTTAGGTCAAATGCTTTTTTAACTTTGAGAAAATGCCGTTTTAACACGACCACCCTAAATCGCCATTTTGTCTGGGAAAATATGCGCTGATTTTACCGACAAATTTCACGACGACAACCGTTTCTAATCGATCTAAAACCCTAAAAATCTTGTTTTCGGTTATTCAAAGGACCGGGTACGTGACTTACAGGAAATCCGAGTTACTTTTAGGAATAGAAATAATCGTAGTTTTGGAGCACACTATCTTACCTCATTTACGATACCCTCTTAACAAAACCGATTTTCACCATGGGATAAAGCTCCAAATCGATCATGCTTCTACTAGTTGGCTCTTTAATAAACAAGCTTTCAATTGACGTAAATACTTCTTTGGGCAAATGAACACGCGATAAACGACAGCGCGTTCAAATCGTCCGTTTTTGACGTCTTGCAAGTCAAACGCTGTTAATTTACATACCGTCGAAGTAAACAATTTAATCAAGTATTTTAAGTATTTTACCTTTTGATAAGAAGATATATTCTTGAATGGAGACTTTTTGCCTTGCTAAGTTTAAAATTGGTCCAGAAATCCCGATATATTTGTGAAATATCATCATATACAGGTATTTTGAGATATAATATCGTTGTCAGTTGCATGATAACTTCAGATCACTGTTCAATATTGTACTTTTAATAGCACTAACATACAAAGCAATGAGCTGTTTAGGGATTATATTTGTTACTAAATTTACCAAAATAATTAGAACTACAACTGCTGTTTTCAGAGGTTTTGTTCCATTTTGTCCATATTATTAAATTAATGTACCAGTTATGTATCGACTATAATGTTTACGAAGACTAAGTTAATTATTAAGCAGGTGTTAGCGTGCGTGTACATGAAATGAACGCTTATAATGTTTATCAATATAAGGAGTTTTTATTTTTAGTTTAGCAGCCCTTATATTTGAATAGCCGAATTCATATTAGGGACGCGAAACTCGTCTTAGACGGAAACTCGTCTTAGACGGAAACTCGTCTGTGAAAACCCGCCTGAATATGAATTTAGGGACGGATAAATTCGAATTTAAGACGAGTTTCCCGTCTCAGCGTCTAATATGAGTTTCCCGTCTCTAATATGAATTCGGCTAATTGTGTTAAAACTGCAAGGTCATTAAATCTCATTAAAATCCCACAGACCACAACGATTATACGTATTGATTGTTTCTTGACGATAGTAGACGCGTACGCATGCATGTTGCGTAAGAGGTTATATCGCTGGCCTCAGAATGACAAAACGTAACAAAGCTTTACACTAACCCTATTCCAAACACCAACTTTATAACTTAAATCCTTACCATAACCCTTGCTCGTTATTAAATAACATACCGTAGTAAATAATTTAATCACCATTTCTAAGTCTTTTAGTTTAGGGGGGGGGGGGCAAAGGGAGCAATTTTCTCCGAGACCGCAGCTCAAGGAGGGCCGGCAAATACAAATTTGCAAGGGGGTAAAAAGTTTGTCGACGGAGGGGTGGGAGGGGAATTATTGTGGTTCACCGGGACCCCAAAGATATAATTGGCCCTGGGCCCCATATTTCACTGAGCTGGCCTGGGCTGCGCCAGTAATTCTCCGACGGGGGAAGTCATAAGTGACCAGGGTCGGATTAACGTCGCGCGAGGCTCGTGGCAGATTTTAGCGCGAGGCCCCCAACCCCCTCCCCCCCCCCACTCTCCGCCTTGTTATGAAAATCTTTGAATTTAAAGACACACAAAATTGTTAAATAATTTTTTTCAATATTTCAATTTATTAGCATGGCCCAGTTGTTGGGTCAACATGTATAAACAGGATCATAATATAACAGCTCAACGCAACTGGAGATTACATGCACACGAGTATTGCATATCTTCCCGGGGCCGTGCTGGGGCCAACTGCCTAAAATGGGTGTGTCCCAACAGAAAATGGCCGTGTTCTCGTAAAAATGGGCGTGGCACAGTAAAGCGCAATGCCCCCATAAGCGCGAGGCCCGTGGCATTTGCCGCATCTGACACATGGTTAAGCCGGCGTTAAACTAGCAACAAGCTTCCATTTTTTTTAAACGTGACGTGTATTTTTGGGTTACTAGTACTTGTGGAATATAATAAGATCAATAAACAATAGTGTATCAAAAGAAAGTAATTTTACTGATTATTTTAACTGAGCATCAAAGTGAACACACATTAAAATAATTATTCTAAACTATTTGCTATAATTTGAGTTTGAGGTGGTAGAATATGTAATAAAATAACAAACCCTGTATGGATTAATGTTCATTTCACACGCACGCTATTAACAGCTGCTTAATAATTAACTTATGTATTCGTAAACATTTATACTCGATAGCATAGTCGATATGTAAAAGCTTGTAAAATGGTACATTATATGGATCAAACTGGAACAAAACAACAACTGAAGTTCTAATTTTGGGAAATTTAGTAGCAAATATAATCCCTAAACAGCTCATCGATTTGTATGTTAGCGCTATTAAAAGTAGACAATATTGAACAGTGATCTGAAGTTATTATGCAACTGACAACAATATTATATCTCAAAATACCTGTATATGATGATATTTTACAAATATATCAGGATTTTTGGACCAATTTTAAACTTAGCAAGACAAAAAGTCTCCATTCAAGAATATATCTTCTTCTCAAAAGGTAAAATACTTAGAATACTTGATTAAATTGTTTACTTCGACGGTATGTAAATTAACAGCGTTTGCTTGCAAGACGTCAAAAACGGACGATTTCAACGCGCTGTCGTTTATCGCGTATTCATTTGCCCAAAGAAGTATTTACGTCAATTGAAAGCTTGTTTATTAAAGAGCCAACTAGTAGAAGCATGATCGATTTGAAGCTTTATCCCATAGTGAAAATCGGTTTTGTTAAGAGGGTATCGTAAATGAAATAAGATAGTGTGCTCCAAAACTACGATTATTTCTATTCCTAAAAGTAACTCAGATTTCTTGTAAGTCACGTACCCGGTCCTTTGAATAACCGAAAACAAGATTTTTAGGGTTTTAGATCGATGAGAAACGGTTGTCGTCGTGAAATTTGTCGGTAAAATCAGCGCATATTTTCCCAGACAAAATGGCGATTTAGGGTGGTCGTGTTAAAACGGCATTTTCTCAAAGTTAAAAAAGCATTTGGCCTAAAAAAATATATGGTGCATTTTCCGATATAATAAGGTATATCTGGGCAAAATTTGAGCAAAATCGATTTTTCAGTCGTGGCCGCGAAATATCTCATATGTTCGATTTTTACTGACATTCACTCTTAAAACCGCTGATCCATCGAAATGGTGGAAAGCCGTAAAAAATCTGGCAGGCTACACTTCAGATAAGTCCTTTCATTCTGTGATCAATGACAACCGAATATTAGAAGGTAAAAACCTAGCAAACGCTATCAATGAATCATTTGTTGCTG